AGTTAGACGTTCGCGCCATGGGCCCTGGCGCATCAGCTGGAGGGCCGTCCGCGGTGACCTCGTGCGGCTTGGAGATACGCGTGGTAAAGCATGGTTAATACATGTTACTCTTTAATACATGGTCAATGATGCCACTGATTGTTTTAATAGTGGTTTAAAGAATAGATGAGTTATGCCTAAACTGATGGCGTTAATGATGGTTAAGAGTAGTTAATAATTGTTGGTGGATATCATGTGAGTATCATGATGTATGGTTTATAATGTTTAGTAATGGTTTTGATAATAGTTTTTAATAGTACTTGATGATGATGGTTAAGAATGGAGGGCATACACAGTAATGAATAGTTTTTGGCCATGGATGGTTTCAATAAATGGTTTCAATAATGGTTAATGATGTTAAAAAATGGTTATAAAATCATGTTTAAGAATAGTTCACCATGATTACCCATGGATAACAACGGTTGATACTGGTTGGTAATGCGAAAAACACTGCAATAATGGATGAATAATTGCTGGTTGGTGGTTTCAACCATCTTGAAACATATTACCATATATTATGGAAAATAAAACATGTTCCAAACAACAAACCAGATTGGATATCTTTAACAGTTTATAGTTTATAACGAACCCCCCCATGGAGATTTAAACAACAAGGGTATGAACTGACGAATCATAGAGATGGACGAACTATGGGTGGTCACTGAAATGTGGCACTGGATTGGAGGTCATTTATCAGATATCTTTGAAGAACACCATTATGTTATATTCTTTAAAAACAACAACACAACAACGACAACAACAACAACAGCAGCAGCAACCGAAAACAACAACGACAACGACGAAAAACGACACCAACAACAACAACAACAACAACAACAGCAACAACAACAACAGCAGCAGCAACAACACCAACAACAACAACAACAACCACAACCACAACAACGACAGCGACAACGACAACAACAACAACAACAACCACAACCACAACCACAACAACGACAGCGACAACGACAACAACAACAACAACAACAAAAAGAACAACAACAACAACAACCACGACGACGACGACGACGACAACAGCAACAACAACAACAACAACAACAAACACTCATCAACATACAAATATTAACCAGTATTGACCAATTCTTAACCATTATGAACCATATCAAAACCACATGTGTATAATGTTTATACATTATGGTCCACATTGTTCACCATCTCAACCATTTTAAACATCATGTTTAATCATGATTTCACCATGGTTTACACCATGTTATCAGAACATCTTCTTCCAATGAACTGCGTTTTTTTTGCCTGGTCATCGATGCCACAGGGGTTATGCCAGGGGCTGCCGACAGAAAGGCCGGTGAGAGAGCAGTACTCCTTGAAGTATCCCTGGGCGTACTTGGACCATCCTGGGAGAGTACATGGTAACCAGGATAACCCTGGGATAACCAGGTTAATTACTGTAAACTGTAAACCTTAGACCTTCAAAGGCGGCATAAGCAAAATCGGATTATTAATAGTGATTAATAGTGGTTGGTGGTTTTAACCATCTTGAAACATATTAGTCAATGGGAAGGATTATCCATGATTATCCCATATATTATGGAAAATAACAAATGTTCCAAACCACCAACCAGATTAATATTATGTGTTAATTGTTGATTTATAGAATCATCCGAGCACGGACTCTACAAATCACCCCCGCTTTTCCCAGCCCGCTCTGCATTGCATCACGCTGACTAGACTCTTGTTGCCTTGTGCCAAAGTTCCGTCATGCAGAACACATGTAGACCAGGAGTTAAAACGTGGCACTGCTGCGTAGCAATCGCCTAAATCAAACTGGGCTGCCTACCAGGAAAAACAAGATCATTGACAGATTCACCTACCAAAATGAGATCGTTATCTTCCAGCCATTTCCAGCCGTTGATCTCCCCTGCCACCCTGAGCCTCAATCATCTGCCGATTGTATGGGTAAGGGACATACCTCGGAGCGGGTCAGAATTTGACCTCCCAGGATCCGGTCCAGCCGGTGAAGCCGGTGTCCGGTCACCTCTTTACATAGGCAGTGGCATAGCCAACCCAACCGCCAAACAGATTGGTGGAAGGGAAGTGTCTGACCCAGCCACGCCAGCAGGGAAAAGGCTAGCAATCACCAATGTTTTTCTGTATCGGACCATACGGCTCGGCAATATATATATATATTATGTACACATATTTTATGCACATAAGAGGAACAGTGTGGACATGAATCAAAACACTACTCTCTCTCTCTCTCTCACATCAACATTTGGACGCCAGGCATGCAAATAATTAATCACCAAAAACATAGAATTATGGAATCATCGGTTTCGTCCTACCAGTATCCCCATATAAATATCAAACAGCATGACCACGAATGGTACGGTAAGTACACTATCACCAAACAATGATGAATGTCCAGAAACATTGAATACCGAAATACCTCTATTACCACGGCCTCGGCTGCGGGGCCATGAGGTCATCCTGAATAAGCCCTAGCCCCGACCTGAAGCCATCTCTAAACCCAACTGACTGATGGCACGAGTTACTCACGGTCACAGCCTTGTTCTTTGAACATCTTTTGGTAGTGGTCCTTAGTCCCAGTGGTGAAGGTCCAAGAATCGCAGGCGGATGTTCATCCAAAATATGGAACGACAGATTATGACCCATACAAATTATCACAAATCCATTGTATATCATTAATAAGGGTTTATCAATGTTTATTAGGGTTTCTCTGGTTTGTCATTATGGCCATGAATTAATGGTATCCCTTAATGTTCAGACACACTGATGTTTGAAACGCCCGAGTGCCCAACCCAGTCGGTAATGCCTAAAGAAGGCTGCTGTTGAGACCCCAAATGTAGGGTTGCTCCACCCCAAAGACAATGGGAAAACGGGGCAAAGAAAGTAGTAAAATGACCATTTTCACTACATCTGGACATATTGTTTCGATTTATTTAACTGCAATGGCTCGGAGAAACAAACAGTGGTATGAATTAAACTTAGAGAGAGAGAGAGAAGGAACATCCTGTAACCAGAAATGATGGGCATATATATATATAATATACACTTAATTTTGTGTTAAAGGTGATTAGACATGTCGCCTTCAAAGCAACAGACAACAAGCCGACCACTCTTGCTATAGAAACGTCACACTTGACCAGCTCAAAGGCACAAACAGTGCTTGGAGGATCCTGGCTAGGAACTCTGGTAAGTCCCCTAAATGGGTGAGCATGTTACATGTAAATAGCTTATATTTATGGTTGCTAACCAGTTACAAGCCGTAGGATCCGACTAATTGAGGCGCTTGAAGGGTCTAACTGGGTCCTGGACATTGTTCCAAATAGTAGTCCACTGGATGCCTGGCCGCTCAGCTATTCCAGGATTGCTGTTTTTTCCACAGAAATGTTTCAATTCATGGGAATGTTGTTAAGGGGAATAATAAATGTTAAAAAATAAACGTGATGTTTCCATATATACAAATACACATAAATGTCATAATACATATTGAATGGAAAAATCATGATAAACCAATGGGAAATTCTCCGAAAAAATCGACCTCTCGACAAGTTCAGCAGAGTGGCGAAAGGTCCAGTGGTTTTGGTGCCATGTGGTGCCCTATTTTCAGAGAAACCCACATCTGGCAATCCCTTTTAGGCCTTCGGCCTTGGGGTAGTTTGAGACTGGAATTGGATGAGTCTTGATGCAAAGATCACCCGAAATCCTGGAGGTTGATACGGCGCATGCATGCGCATGCTTTGCATAGATCGCATAGACCCGTAGCCTCCCTTTTCTCAGTTCATGCATCATGGCTGCCGTTCCACCATCTTTTTTTGCGCGGTCATCATGCACAGTTGGAGCAAACCCACAATGGCTTAGCCATGCAGTTGCAATGAATTCTCAATCTAGGACTTAAAAACCTGAACGTTCAGGGTGACTCTTACGTCCTCTGAAGCGGTTTTTTGTCGTGGTCACAAGGATCACACCACAATCAATGAAATCGATGGCCTATAAATACTATAGGCCTTTTGCAAACATGGAAGGTTGACCAGCTGGCGCTTAGTGATTTCCTGCCTAGCACCAGCTGCCTTCACACGTTGACCGCGAGATGCGTAGCTGCCGTGCAAGAGATCGTCGGCGACGGCTGCTGTTCACAATCATCCATGAAACAAATGCCCGCAACCTGTGTGAGATCCGAATGTATATAGTTAAATATGTCTTGTGCAAAAAACACTATACCACATATCCAATTATTCTAGCCCAAACGAACCAAACAAATCTCTGCCAGTTGGACCACAACAAAATCACCACATAAATAAATAAATATATATATATAATCAAATCTGATATGTAAGAAAAACCGTCAGCAAACTCATTTAATAATAGCATGCCATGCATTGCCAATCAAAATGATGATATCTATATGTCATATGTAACAAAAAACAAGGAACCAACACACAATCAAAAACTATCAGTAGTGTTCATCACTCTTCATTCACCTCATCATACCTTATCCGAAATCCCGGACAAACATCAAATACCCTCTGGTTATGACTAACATAGCCATGGAAAATCACAATTTTTAATAGGTAAACCATCTATAAATGGGCCATTTTCCATGGCTATGTTAAATAACCAGAGGGTAATGTCTTTATCCTTCATATCACCTCAAGATCATCCCAAATGACTCAGTTAAATCCTAGTGCCATGTAAACATACCAAAACTATCAACAACTGAATCGGGGGCCAATGCTGTAATGTCTTTACGTGGGTTTCATAACTACAAAACCTCGCAATAAAAATCACATCATTTCCACAAGGATGTCAGGGCACCAAAGAATTTCAATAAATATAATCGTTTTATCGTTTGTTTACTATGTCAAAATCATCATTTATTTGCAACAAAAATAACATTATCCACAGGCATCCACAGGATATCACTGTTATTTGTTTGTGTTTCTTCATCCACTTGAATCATCACAACTCCTCTTCGGATTCCACAGGATTCCGCAGGATTCCACAGGTCAATGGGCAATTCGCTCAGTATGCTTCGAGTCCTTAGATTTGTCGAAGAGATATATGTATACTGTATATATATATTTATTTATTTATCTATTTATTTATCTATTTATTTATTATATATTGTACACGTGCATATAAATACATATTTAGTGTATATAATGTATTCTCAGTAGTCGACTCATCATGTCTGGATGACCCAATAGGAAAACACAAAAAAAACAACAACATGGTTTGCTGGAACATCGACCATTTCTTCTTCGATGATTTTCGCAGCTATTTCGAAACCTCCATGTTTAGTTCCTCAATTAAAGAAAAGAACACATCATGTTTAGTTCGGGCAAGCCAAAACACTTGGATTTGCCGAAGGTACCCCCCAAAGATAAATATTTCACAAATCCCATCAAGTTCCAATGTTTAGTGACTTTTTATAGGAAAAATGCGGCCAAAAAAATCATCCCAACTCATCTCTATTTAGGATTCTCCATCCGCTAGAAAACATGAAAAAAACACCTCCTCCCATTAAGTCTCTAAGATTCCCATTAAATCGCATTGGCAAAAATCTAGAGGTTGGATTTTCTATTGAATTCCATTGGGAAAATCATTATTAAAAACCACATGTCCCATCAATTTTTTTTCCTATAGATTCCCAGTGGATTTCGTCCAGCGAGATTCATCGGGTCCTGGATTCTTCATCCAGGCCTCGGCCGCTTTGATCTTGGCGCCCGCGGCCGTCGCGGCCTTCAGCGCCGCCACCAGCTGACGTTGCGCCATCTGACGGTGCCACGTCGGCTGTTGAGAGACATGTTTGTATCTAAATGATATGTATGTGGTGGCCATCATTAAGATTGTTTTATTGATGATTGGTAATTGGTTATTGATTGTTTGTCGATATTTATAGTTATCATGATTATTTCATGGCTATTGTATTCCCTGATATCACTGCAATCTTTACCCGAGGTTCAATAAATAAATACTGTATGCATGCATATATATATATATATTTTTTAGAATTATATATATATACCGCTCAATAATTATATGTACACGTACGCTCTACCAAAAGTTGAGCTGCAAATTATGAATTGGCTCATGTGCACCCAACTAATCCAGCCTTCATAAATCCAGATTATTTCATGTTCTCTATCATGACTTTGGTGAATAAACAGCTATATAAAACAACTTCCTTTTGGACCCTTTCCATCGTCTTGCTGGGGAGCCCCACGTTTTTGGCTTGCGCTTCGCGACTGGCTTTGACCATGGCCGCTTCCAGTTGGCCCTGCAGCCGTGTCATGCTGCGCACCTTAAGGCAGGCGCATCCGTGGCATGGTTCGGCAGGGTGGGAGGTTGGGAAGTCACATTAGACATAATTTAGATATGCTGACTACCATACTCTTATGTACACAATTGTGTGTGTGTTTATATGTTTATATACTATATGATTGTAATGGCATAACATCAGAAATCATCGATCTTTTCATGATATGATTTGAAAGACCATGACATGATTGCACTCGACTATATTTAGGAACATCAGAAGTTTCCTGGCTGGATATATGCAGCATCTCCTGAAAATGAACGGTGCTCAAGAAAGGGGACTGCCAAAATAAGAATCATGTGTAGGACAGTGTAGGACAGGGTTCGCGCTGACAATGCTGAGTTCCATCACCGAGAGAATATGATATTTACACACCTTTTACATCTTGGAATGTGTCGCAGTGTGTCGCACACGTCTGTTTGAAAATCAGGTGCTCCCCGGTGAACTCAGCGTGCCAAGGCACTTCTTCCAGGTCAGTAAGGCGTGCCTTACCCCCCCGGCCCCAATGCCCCCGATTCACCTGACTCGAGTTGGTTGTATTCCCACTGCGCACTGTGGCCTTTGGGACAAACCCTTGTTTTCAGAATGCACTCCCCATGTTTTTTTGATGGTGAAATCTCATTAATCATTAAACTCATTCATGATTCAGTGAATATTTCAGGTACCTGACTTAGAGGCATGTAAGGACATATCCCCACAAAGTATGGCCCTACATTGCAAAGCACCTCCATTTGGATCATTTTAGTTTCTCTCTGTCCATATTTTTTTTTGTTAGCTGAATACCCATTGATTCACCATTAGTTGCAACAATTACTGTCTATATTTTCCCACCAAAAAAATGGTAAAATCCCCGTGAAGTTTCCATGCCATCCATGGATCTAACTGCTTGGAGGATCAGCCCACTGGGAAAAACCCTTCGTAGATCACCATTTCATAGATTTATACATATTTATACATACTTCTCCCATTTATGGCTTATAACTAACCTCAGTTGCTAAGTGGTGTGATTCAGTGGCTGATCCCTCGCTGTCAGAGGTGCAAGGTCAGGAAAAGCAAAAACCGGGTCGTCATAAGTAACCTCAGTGACTAACCAGTTCCTAATTAATGCTGGTAAAACAATAAGCTATCCCCAATTTCACCATAAATAATTAGGTGGGATGTTTACCATTCCCAGTCATGGGTGGTTTATAGCATTGTTTTACCCACATGGCCCGCTGGTAAACTAACATAACTATGGAACATCACCATTTTTACTAGGTCAATCAACTAATCAACCATAAATGGCCATTTTCAATAGCAAACTGTTAGTTTACCAGAGGGTACCTTGTTTTATTGTGCCCGTTTTACCCACATTATAGATATACAGAATGATTTACCTACTAAAGATGGTAATTTTCATATTGATTTTCCATAGTCATGTTATATAGTTTACCAGAGGGTAACCAGTTCCTATACCCTCTGGTAAACAAACAGTTCGCTATTGAAAATGGCCATAGAAATAGTGGATTTACCCATTCAAATCACCATAGTTATGTAAACGTTTACCAGAGGGTACCCTCTGGTAAACTAACATAACTGTGGAAAATCACCATTTTCAATGGGAAAATCCACTATTTCTATGGCCATTTTCAATAGCTATGTAAACGTTTACCAGAGGGTAGTTCCCAAACCATCCTCCAAAGCCCCAGGCAGCGGCGCCTCCATGTCCTGCGTCCGTGCCTCCGCCGTTTGGCGCCGGTGCTGCTCCGCGCTGAAGCGCTGCTCCGCCGCGCCCAGGCGCCGCCGGAGGTCGCCGGCTTCGCCTCGGGCCGTGGAGCATGGGAAGGTGGAAAGCCCAAAACGAAAGGTATTGTTATATATATATTAATGATTATTAATGATTATTAATGATTATTAATGATTATTAATGATTATTAATGATTATTAATGATTAATAATGATTATTAATGATTATTAATGGTTATTATATGGTTATTATATGGTTATTATACGGTTATTATATGGTTATTATATGGTTATGATATGGTTAATGATGGTTGATAACTATTACTGGTTGGTGGTTGACCTACCCCTCTGAAAATGATGGAGTTCGTCAGTTGGGATTATTATTCCCAATAGATGGAAAAATAAAACATGTTCCAAACCACCAACCAGATTGGGCATCAATCATCATCAATCCCCAGGCATCATGAACTCTGTTGCCAACCCAAAACTACACTAACAAAAGGATTGTATAAATACAGGGGTTTATGGAGTTTATGGTGTGGTGATCAAAAAACCGCTTCAGAAGGCCTTAAAGCACTTGTTGGGGGATACGTTTCTGGGGGGGGGAGTATAGTATCTGCATCCTGGTAATTTCAAACTTGGAATGCCTCGAAACAGTTGGTTTCCCTATTCAAAATGACGAGTAACTTGGATGCTTTGGGGGTCCCAACTTTAAGAAATCCCTTGAGTAAGACGCCGCCATTTGTGAATCATGTCGCATTTGTCCTCGGAACACTCAATGGTTTTCCATATCTCTTTGTACGGCTTCAGGGTGCATAGGTTTGTCTGAAAATGGGGTACCCCAAAAATAATAATCATTTGTTCCTTTGAATTTGATAGCGACTCTACCATTTCCAAACCCACATATCGTGGCGTTTGTTGTATCACATAAAATATCATAAAATGCCATCAAACATTGTTGGTGTTTCCTCATTGTTCGCAGAAGAGGTGTTCGCCATGGCACCCTCCAACTTATCGATTTGCTCTTGGAGCTCCAGAGTTTTCTCCGAAGACGGCAAATCCACAGACCTGGCGGGAGTATAACCCGTGCAGTTGTGTCAGACAGGCCATGATCGACTATAGCAACCCCCCAGAGCCTGCCAATGTTTGTCAAAATCAAATCCTAAACTAGTGGTCCTGGTACCCTAATTCCAACTTCAAACCTTTCGTGGATGAGACTTCCTGACACATGTGTATATATATATAGATACACATGATTTGAATGAAAAGAAATCATATCACATAAACATGACACTGAACGCGTCTTGAAGCCCAGAGTGTAGAGTGCAGAATTGCTGCAAAAGGATTTTGAAACTTTCGCCCATCCATTGCAATCCAGTCACAGAGTGAAAGAGCGGAGTTCCGCTTCCAAGGCCTGAATGCCTCAGAGTGCCAATTCTGCAGATTCTGCCCATCTTCACCAGTCCATTCCATGGCAAGAATCATCAAAAACAATCAGGACACTTTAGCCAAGGTGAATTGGGAATTGGGGCAGGTCAAAACTCTGAAAAACGGCTTGAACTAAGCTGAAGTGTTAGAAATGACTGACTCACAATGGAGGTTGGTTTGCCCCATCGTTCAGCGATTTGACATAACTTGACTACATCTAAACCTTGGCCAGAAGGCTATGCAAACTATCGAAAACCAGCCCCAAACTGACGGAATCTGCGTGACTTTGAGGTGCTTTCCACAGTTTTCAGGCCGACCAACCCCTTCAAAAATATTGACCGAGCGACGTTCCTTGAAGTCGCTGGCTGCCTGCGCTGCCTGTGCCTTGCAAGTCTCAAGTTCCTGCCTTGGACATGGCGGCTGGGTCACAAAACTGACTGACCTTGGGGATACACGGATAATACCGATGATGGTAGTGGCAGTGGCACTTGGATGTGCATCCCATTTAAGAAGTGGTTTATAACCCATATATTATATTACATACCCATATTTCATCCCATATATCAGTGGGGATATTCCATCTATATCTGGGGGATAACCCATTTACGATTCGTGGGATGCACCACCAAGATTCACGGTGAATGAATGGTGCATGGGTTCACCACTGACTTGAGGGTGGCAGTGGATCCCAATGTTGAAGCCACAGCCATCCACCTAGGTAATTCACATCTGACATCACAAAAAATAATGCTCCCACATAAGATGTATGCCATCAAATTGAAGACGTATTCCCAATCAATATTCACCATAATTTCCGGCGAAGTTCTTTGTTGTCAATACAAGCTATTTAAATACATACATATATAGTAAGTAACCAGCAAATAGAAAATTCAGGATTGCCAGGTCAACAAATAGAATAGGAGATATAGAATATTATTCTTACCCAATAGGTTGAAATGAACAATGTCCCATCATTCCTGCAACTAAATCAAGTTAAAATGAACAATTTTCAATGATTATATGTGTGTACCATTTCCTGCAACTAATTCAGGCTAAAATGAACAATTTCAATGATTATGTGTGTGATTTACTGCAACTAATTGACGTATTTCTGCATGCCAACAGAGCTGGCACACAATCTTAAGGAAACTCCACATTGAAATTCATCCAAAATAACCACAACCCTTGTAAAAACCATAGCACCAGAAAACAAAATATTATAATATTATATCTGCAAATTCTTTACCCAATAGGTTGATGTTGGCTAGTTATTAAAAACAAAAGCCAGCTTGTTATTCTATCTGCTGGCTACTTACTATATATATTATAGACATATATATATATATGATGCAACTTCGCTATATCTCCAGCATTGAAATCAGGCTTCGTTGTTGGGAACAAATCCCTACTCATTCCCAGGAAATTGAAATCCCCAGAATTCTCCCTAGTAGGATTGTTCCATTATTCCCAGCATTCTCAGAACACACTCATATTACCCCCCGGGAATCAAATGCGGCAATTGAACATCCCCTATATATATATATATACTATAGCTCGGATGGCCCCGGGTGACTTAGGAAGTTATAAGTTGGTTAACATGAACTTAGCGAACTTATAAAAAAGAATGTTGTTAAGTTCATCTTAAGTTGGGTTGTAAGTGTGCTAAGTTCTACAATGTGTTTTTTGGTTATATTATGTGATTGTGTTTTTTTAAATATTTTGTATGATTTCATCAAGTGGTGTCCAAGCGCAGTGTGTAAAGCAGCATAGCGACCGTGGCGTCGTCGTTTTCTCTAAAGTACATGGCTTCGAGCAAGTATGGCTTTGACCTTTTGTCTGCCAATTTGTGAGTTTGCGTGCGCATTTATTTGTCTTTCTATGATACATGCCTACTTTTGCTACAAATGTGGAAGCTGTTTGCGTGAAGTTGACAAGTTTGCATGCAACATCATCTGAAGGAAAACTGCATCTGTGTACCCTCCCCTTATCTGGCACGTAGCTCAGATTACAGAGCGTACTCGTGAGACGCTTGACCTCTTCTTCGGCAGCAGGATCAGCCATCGCAGACGGCAAACGTTCCAGAGCAACACAAGAGGGGCGAGACGCGTCCCAGCTGAACCTAAACAGCTACAAAAACAAGATTTCATCTCCAGACTCCGCGGACAAGTTCCAGTGAGTTTCAGGTCGCGGACATGCCTCAAAAGCTAAGAATTCCCATATTCGTTTACCTTCTGTGAGATTGCTTTAGATTGCGCGGACACGCGGACAACCCATACCTCCCCAGGAGCCGCGAACAGTCGCGGACTCCGGCGGACATTTCGCGGACTTCGTCATTTCCTCTGGGCAGGTCACTGCGTTTCTACGCTGCGGTTCTGCTGCTGCAGCTCAGGCACATCACACACTAGATTCTCTACTTGCTACTGGGCCTCGTGAGCCCATCCATGTGGCCTCGGGCAAGAGGTCGGTGCACTGCTGCAGCTCGACCAGATCATTAGCAATGGACTGCTGAAATATCTCTATGTGATAACTGTTCAGCAGGACCTCACAGCGCTTCCACTGATCTGTCCAGCCGCCAAAGACGAAGCAACAAATGGTCTGCTGCTCGATGCCATCTTCTTGGCAGACCAGACCCAAATCTTCTTTCAGGCACCACTGGATCAGTTTGTTGAGGAACAAAACTTGCTGTGCCAGCAACGAATTAAAAACTTGAACCCAGCTGCGTGGGATCAGGCGATTTCTTTGGACATCACTTCTGTTCTGTTTTCCAGAAAATAATCTTCCACTTTGCAAAAAAATACCATCCTTGCAAAAAACATTACCAAAAACATGCAATATGATAACTAACCTAAGTATGAGCTAAGTCTAACCTAAGTTACCCATACTTTAGTACTCATGAACTTATAAGTAGCTAAGTTGTAGCTAAGTCAGGGGCTTCCAAACCATTAACTTAGCATGTACTTAGACCAGTTACACAAGTTATAACTCTACTTCTAAACATCTTACGATAAATATAATTCCATTATAAATTCTCTAACTCCCCGGGGCCATCCAGTATAGATGTAGGGTTGTAGCTGGGAAAATCATCTATAAATGCTGCTATATAATCATATTCTCCATTAACCATCTATACATGGTATACTCACATTATCCGTTAATTAATAGGATTATAGGATCCAATGTTATCCATTATTCTCCCATATTGTGACCAGTCACTTTTTTGTTTCTTCCGCTTCTTGCGCCGCTTGTAGCTTCACTTCCACGGCTTCTTTCGCAGCTCGCTCTGAGTCTATGGCACCTTGGCTGAGGGATCCTGCACCAGTTGGTGGTAAATCATAGGATTATCAGGGGATGTTTACCATCCAACTGGTGCAGGATTTCGCAACCATCCACAGTATGATCAAGTGAGATGGAATTGATGGGATATGCTCATCCATCCCCTATAGAATTCATGTAAATCCATTTTCATGCCATCGGCATATCAATACGCATTACTGGGTTGATGGCTATCTCACCATGTTTTCCATGTGTTGATTCGCCAAATGGTGGATTGACCCCTGGGGATATGAGCTGAAGCAACTTGGCAATCTGTTGATACCTTGCCCCCCAGAAATCGTAATAGCTTTGTGTAACCCATCACCAATCACCATGTTTGCTCGATGAATCCCTCACAAAAAATCCCCAAAATCGGAAAACGGATGAAATCGGAAAATCCCTTTGATTTTAAGGGACATCCCCCCATATTCCCTTGCTGGCCTTGCCTTTAAGTTCCTTTCGTTCCTTCTCCGTGACTTCTGCACGCTGGAAAGCCAGCTCGGTCCTGAGATGCTGGGCCTTTGCTTGAGGTCACCAGACCTAGAAATCACCATGGAACCCACGAAAAATATGGTGATGTAATGGTGATTTCACCTTACACATATCATTTGTGCAAAAAATATTGATGAGACAATCGATACTCTTGAATTTGCCAAATCACACACGGCAATGGGAACATCTTCCATTTAAGGGTTCGATGATTTTCCCATTTTGAAATGATGTACTTCGGGGGCTTCCCAGCCATGTTTGATTCCTGGAGGCTAAGCTGGTGAACCCTGGGCTTAAAGTGGCGCCAGTGGCACCCAGGCCCGCCCCGTCCCTCGGTGGCTGCCCGGTGACTGCAACGCTTCGAGTTGGGCGTCTGAGGCAGCCTTGGCCGCGTGTTCTTTGCCTTGGCGCGTCGTCAAGGTCCCGGTGGGTTCAGCAACAAAGACCAAAAAAAACATTGGCAAATGGAGGTTTGATGGTGGTTTCATGGGGATATATCGGAGCATATTGATATGTACACACACACATATATGTATATTATATATATATATATATATAAATCTAACCCTCTGGTAATCAAGCATGGCTAGCTGGGAACACCCCGAATTTTAAATGGGCAATTAAACGGGAACATCATCTATCCATGGGGGATTCTCCAGCAAGCCATGCTTGACACCAGAAGGGGAAAAAGTCTGCAGGAACAGGCATTCCTAAATTTAAATTTACAAAAGATGGTGGCCAAATCCAAGTTTAGGAAGATCATTTTCTAGAGCTATATTATTCGGGTTCCATGACAAAATTGATGGGTTGCACCTCAAACTTATCATGGTCAACAATCGGGTGGTTTCTTTTGCAAGGGGTTGTTACGCTGTGAGCAAATTTTCCTCACCCCACAGGGTCTTGCTGCTGAGCCTTCCACTTTGGAAAAACTGAGAGGGACACGAGAATCCCTCCGTTTCTTCAAAAAAAACATCTATGATTTGGTCACCTTCTCCGTTGAGCAGTGTTCAAAACCCCTCTATCATTCCATTATACTGGTTGATAGGAAATCCCATGAGGGACTATGATCATCCCCTATATATTGAGTAGCACTATCCCCTGCAATAATCAACCAGAAAGAGTTTTGTAATTGCCCACTTTCCCATCACTTCCACCAGGTGCTGCATCCCAGTCACTAAGCCACTGATCGTGCAACTCAATCATTTGCGCTTTTGACTCCTCAGTGGGAATCCCCACCCCATGAATTCAACATGTCCCTGCTTCAATGCAATTATTGTAACAGAAACGTCAAAACCAACAAGCATTTACCCTCTGTTAGACTAACATAACTATGGAACATGGCTCATGTATAGTTGATTTGCCAAAACTTGCGCTTTACATAGCCACAAGAATATTGGTGTGGTACAGTTCAAGACCGCCATGCTTTATTGACAGCCCTCCTTATGTCCATTCCGGCCATATTGAGCGAAATGGGATCCACACAATGTTGGATGGTTCCAATCCGTTCATGGGACATTCTGGCGCCAAGCTACCTGTGGGTGATGGGCGTGAAGGAAGCAGCAACAACAGTTGAATACCAGTTCAAATCTGTGCCAATACATGTATGTATATATATATATATATGTGTGTAGTACGTATCTGTGTATGTGTGTGTTTATGTATATGTTATGTAAATGTATATTTATATGTCTATCTCCATTGTATTATTATATTGGTTTTATATATATTTGTATGAACATATATACATTATGATATAATGTATCTATCAATCTATCAGTCTACTGTACCTACTGTTTCAATCCATATTTGTGTTATGTGTTAATATTTATTTTCAGCATATGTATCCCTTTATAGATGTATGTATGTTTCCAGGCATATGTGTTTGCAAACATGCATGCATATATGCATGCATATATGCATGCGCATGCGTATATATATATATATATACACATGTGCGTGTGTGTTTGAGCCAAAGTTTGAGCGTGACTCAATCTATCTATGCCTACCAATCAGTCTCTATCTATCTATATATATACTGTATATAATCTGTATACATATATATATATATATCATGCTTGTTCATTTATATGCATATGATTCGAACCATGAAACACATCAAACAAATGGATACGATAGATGTTACAAAAGATGAGGCCAAAACCAAACCAACATGTTACTTCTTGAAACGGGGATATCGAAACAAACTACGGTGGATGGTTGCGAAATCCTGCACCACCTTGGATGGTTGAAACTTTCGAAACCCCAACAAAATAATGGAATGTTTACCACCTATCATCTGGTGCAGGGTCCCCTTTCAGCCCGGCATCCGTGGCCAGCTCAGACAGCTGCTCTTCCAGGCGCTCAGCACGCGCCTGCAACACCTGGATCCTCTCCTGTTGAGTTCACTGGTGAAGCGATTTATTGGAGCTACCACTGTGGACATAAATGGGATAAGAATGGGATATGAATGGTGATTTAATGGGATATTAATAAACAATGATGGTTATATAGTGATATATATATATATAATTCTACGGGATAATTAAATTGATGATTTCATTACATTCATGGTGATTGAATGGGATACTAATGGTGATTGAAAGGGATATTTAATGGCATATTAATGGAATAACATTAAGTACTGAGGATGGTTGCGAATCCCTCTCCGGGATAAGCCATCTATGAACTGGTGCAGGATTTCGCAACCATCCACTGTATGTAAGGTCTAAGGGCTACGGCTATGTAAAGGCATATACTATATACCTAACCTATCATATACCTATCATATACCTCCAGAATGGGGCTTGATATGGTACAGTACCTCCAGTTTAGGTACCTGAAATGGCAATGAACATGGGAAAATCAAGTAGTCAACTGGATGGTTTTTGGATGATTCTAAGATTCTAAGATCTAAGTTGACTTTGGGATTTTGGATGATTCTAAGATTCTAAGATCTAAGTTGACTTTGGGATTTTGGATGATTCTAAGATTCTAAGATCTAAGTTGACTTTGGGATTTTGGATGATTCTAAGATTCTAAGATCTAAGTTGACTTTGGGATTTTGGATGATTCTAAGATTCTAAGATCTAAGTTGACTTTGGGATTTTGGATGATTCTAAGATTCTAAGATCTAAGTTGACTTTGGGATTTTGGATGATTCTAAGATTCTAAGATCTAAGTTGACTTTGGGATTTTGGATGATTCTAAGATTCTAAGATCTAAGTTGACTTTGGGGGTTTGCAGGATTCTGATTGAACATCTGGTGATTTGCATGACGATCAAATCTGGGTAATTCACCATGACAAATTTGGGATGTAACCATGAAGACTGGGGATTACTGTAAGATGAATGACCCATTGAACAATAGGGATAATGATGGTTATTGTCAGTGGAATCATCAATCGCATTCTAAATGAAAATGGCAAATGTGAGCGAAATCCCCTTATAGTGATCATGTCCAAAAAATACATGGGTACTTGGAGAATCATGACACTTAATAATGGGTTTCTCAACCCTGGGGATCGCTGTCCCAGCGGCTTATCCCATACATAGTCCCACTTAGTAAGTGGTTCATAACCTAGTCCACTGTGTGAGTAGTATGTAGTGATTAATAACCCTACTTTCAGTGGGGATATCCTCTGGTAATTTGTTACATAGCTATTGAAAATGGCCATAGAAGTAGTGGATTTTCCCATTGAAAATTGTGATTTTCCATAGTTTTTTGTATGTTTACCAGAGGGTACCCAACATTTCAATGGCAAGTCCAACCTCAGTGACGAACCCATGGAACGGGTCCTCCGCGGCTTTCAGCTTCTTCTTTGAAGCCTCTGCGGGGACCTTTCTTGTATGGCGTGATACTGCTAGGAAGTAGGATAGAATGTATGCATATAGTATGTACTATATGAAAATATATGAATATATGAATATATGAAGATATGAATATGTATATATATATATGTGTATGTAAATGTTAATAGATGTAAATAGTTGTAGATATGTGCACACATATGCAACCATATTTAAATATATCTAAATATCATAAGAAAAATCAGGATCAGACAGATTTCAAAAGTTTTAAATGTGCAATGCAAAGGGTTTCTTGCTGTGGAAAGGAGTGGCACCTCGTCATCAGCAGTCTGGGTCTGGTTAACCTCGCCAGGTTTCCTGGGTTTTGGCTCAGCATGAAACGAGACAACCCTAGGGCCTAGGGAAATCTGGCGATACATCGCTGCACCGTGCAATAAACGCCGGAACCTATGGGTCACCAGGTGTTTTGGCTCTCGCTCCGGCGGATGATCATGTAGTTTTTGCTGCTAATTACTCCCCATCTTCTGCTTCATAGACCCACCCAGCTTGGTTCCCCCTTCCCTGGGTTGCAAGCCGTGGATTTCCAATGCAAAAGAACACAATCAAAAACCCTATATCAATCTATATATATATTATAGGGTTCAATATAGTTTTTGGATGTTTTTGTTTTTTTTTGGCTCAGGTTTTGGATTTTTGTTTAGCTTTCTTTCCTGGTAATTTGCCTTGTATTTGCAACAGTTTCAAAGTAGAATCTGTCATTTTGCATGGTATTTGCTAGATTTTGGCATGGTTACTTTGCATTTTGCATGGTATTTGCTACATTTGGCAATGTTTGCCTTCCATTTTGCATGGTATTTGCGACGTTTTGGCACTTCAACCTCTCATTTGCATGGTATTTTGCTACATTTTGGTACTTCAACCGTTCATGTGGGTTTCTTGAGAGTTTCTTTAGGCTTTCATTTAGGGTTTCATTTAGGGTTTGTTTTAGGGTTTCATGAGGATTTCATACGATTTCATACCGGTTTCATTTAGGGTTTCATTTAGGGTTTCTTTAGGGTTTCATTTAGGGTTTCATTTAGGGTTTCATTTAGGCGTTCATTTAAGGTTTCTTTAGGGTTTCTTTAGGGTTTCATTTAGGGTTTCTGTATGGTTTCATGTAGGGTGTCTTTAGGGTTTCATTTATGGTTTCATTTAGGAATTCATGTAAGCTGCATGTAAGTGTTTCATTTAAGTGTTTCTCATCAGGATTTCCAAATGCTCATGTGGGTTTCTTTGGGGCTTCTTTAGGGTTTCATTTAGGGTTTCTGTACGGTTTCATGTAGGGTTTCATTCAGGGTTTCATTTTATGGTTTCATTTAGGGTTTCTTTAGGGTTTCATTTAGGGTTTCATTTTGGCATTCATTTAAGGTTTCTTTAGGGTTTCTTTACAGTTTCATTTAGGGTTTCTGTATGGTTTCATGTAGGGTTTCTTTAGGGTTTCATTTCGGGTTTCATTTAGGTTTCGTTTAGGGTTTCATTTAAGGGTTTCTTATCGGGATTTCTTATCAGGATTTTCAAACGCTCATGTGGGTTTCTTTGGGGCTCCTTTCGGGTTTCATTTAGGGTTTGTTTAGGGTTTCATTTAGGATTTGTTTAGGGTTTCTGTAGGGTTTCATGTAGGGTTTGATTTAGGGATTCTTTAGGGCTTCACTTAGGGTTTCATTTAGGGTTTCATGTAGGGGTCTCTTATCAGGAGTTCTTATCAGGATTTCTTTAAGGTTTCTTTGGGTTTCACCTTTAGGGTTTCCTTTAGGATACAAACAGGAGAGAATAAAGCAAAAGAACAGGAAAAAAACAACAACAAAGAGGTAGTAAAGACAGGAAGCAGAGAAGCAAAGGAGCAGGAAGTAGAGCAGCAAAACACATGATTGAAGAAAAGAAAAAAGTAGAATAGTAAAAGTAGAAAGGCACAGAAGCACAAAAGCAGAAAAGCCGAGAAGCAGAGAAGCAGGGAAAGCAAAGAAGCAGAAAAGAAAAGAAGCAGGCAAAGCAAAGAAGCAGAAAAGAAAAGAAGCAGAGAAGCTTCTAAAAATAACAAAAAGCAGGAAAAGCAAAAAGCAAAGAAGCAGAAAAGCAGAGAAGGAAAGCATAGAACCAGGAACCCCAAACAAAAAATCAAAACCTGCCGCGAAAAAAAACAAAAAACAAACAAATAGCCCTCCAATTATAGACATTTGTATAGAATTGTATAGATATATTTCCCATCATTTCCCCAACCAAAAAAATTGAGTGCTGCCCAGGTCGCTTGACGTTCTGCAGAACCAATTCCATCTCTGCAAGGCGGCGTTCTGCACCAGCTTTACTGGCCGACGGAAAGGTCCAACTGGTGGGAGACCCACGTGGGGATACAGCTGGCTAGGTGCATCTACATCTTATATTGCTTATATGTCTATTGGTCCATCATCTGTGTATACACATATATATATATATGTGTGTGTACGTGTATACATACATATACATGTGTATATATATATATGTCATTATATGTCCATGGTGAAGGTGGAGGATAATATGTGTATATATATATATATAAATAAATACTATATGTATAATTATATACTTATATGTATGTGCATAAATAAGATATGTTTATGTTTGTTCTATTTGAGATATTCGAGGGTCAAAGCTATAGAAAGTGAAGACGCTCAGGTCCCGGGAGCTGTGGACTGGACTGGAGGTGCACCCGAAAATCCGCGGTGAACCACTGGCCGTTCACAGCGACATGTCCCCCATTTTCCCATGAAAATTCAACTATAAACATTTCTTCACAAGTCCTGAACACACCGGGAGTTTGGTTTCTAAACCCATCGAACTATGGATACATTCTAGTATAAGCCCCTAGTTAAACATGTTTATCAACTTAACTTCTACTGGTAGTATAAACCCCAATTAAACATACTTACCAATGACTTACCAACTTAACTTAGGAGGCACCACCTTCTTCCGACCTGTCCCTCACTCGGTGTTTCGGTGGCCTTTCTTCCGCCACCTTTCGGCGTTGCTCCTCCCCCTGCAGCCGCTGTTCCATCCGGGTCAGGCGAGTCTGAAGCAGCTGAAGCTGGCTGGCAGCATCGGTCTCCTGAAGGCGAAAGGACCAGGTTTTTCCATGTTTTTCCTAGGGGATAACCGTTGGTAAATAGGGATGCAATATTAACGTTTAACATTCAATGCAATGGGACTATTTTGTGGAATGCAACTGGCAGTATGATATTCGGGTATACATTTTTTTGGAGGACAACCATTTCGTGGGAACATGGGAACATCATGGGGTCCACAACTAACAAGATGATATCACCCGCCAGCTGTCTTGTGTCTTTTCTGGGATATGCTGGGACTGGGATCAGATTCCTTCGAGATAGTTGTTATATATATATACGTGTGTATATATGTAGTCTGTATATGTAAATGCATATGTATATTTATATGTATATGTATATACGTAGAAAATATAAATTATTATTACTATTATTATTTATATATATACAGTATATTTACTCTATGTGCATACTGTATTGCATACATATCTTTGTATATATATATATATGTATATATATATATATGCACATCATCATTCCATATGAACCCACCAGCCCCATCCAACCTATCATTCGCCAGTCTGTGAATCCCTGTCGTTTTTCCTCTTGGGGATGCATCAACTGAGTTGGCTGTCTTGGCTCATCTTCCATAACTGGGGTACACCAGATTTAACTCGGTTATAATTTATAATCAATGGCCATGACTCAGGTACCGATTGATTGGAGGTACCGATTCCATATTAATAAGGCCTATGTGAGGGCTAAAAAAAAAGGGAATATCCCCACAAATGATACAGTACCTCCATTTTAGGATCCTGAAAATCCCATTGATTATACTGTGGGTATGAAGCACTTGCCCTGGAGGTGAAAAAAGACACAGATCTGGTAAACTCCGTGGTTCTCCCAGGAAAACTATCTACTGCTGGTGGGGTTTCCTGGCACATCGTCGACATCCCATCCCCTCCTGTGAAGTCTCATTGAATGTCATCCGATCTTCAAGGTCCTGGAACCGGTTGAATGCAGGCGCATGTGGCATGCTGTTCTCTCTCATTATATTACATCACTAATTATATGGTGGTTTTCATAAATGGGGGTGTCCCAATTAACAGCCATTTTTGTTTGGGATTTTCCTTTATAAACCATCCAGCTATTGGGGTACCCCCGTTTTAGGAAAGCCCCATATAGTGATGTATCCTGATGACTCCCGCAAAGATTGGCACATGAATACATGATAGGTAACGGCACCGCGTTTGTTGGATCTTTGGATCAGCAACATGTTTGTCTTTACTGTGTGCACGCACCCGGGCCGTCATTCAGTGCTAATATGTACATATATATATAAATATAAATATATATATATATAAATAAATATATATATATATGGGCAAATTATTAAATTATGATAATTCACTAGCCTGAAATAAAGCCATTTTGGGATGTAACCATGATTCCAGTGAGGTCGCAGTGAGGTCGTAATCTGCTCATGTATATATATATATATATATAAGGGTCACATCAAAAACATAGCAGCAATGTGAGTAAAGCAATAGGATCCACCATCCCCAAATGTACCATAAATGTGACATGGGTGGTATAAACTAGCAACATGTGGGTGGTTTAGTATTGCAATGATTCAAACATGACCAATCGATATGGTAACAAGGAGGCCATTCATGGGATGCTTGTGGAGCACTGATATGCTGATCTCTCTCTCTCTCTCTCTACGACTGAATGCCCCACAAAGAAGGGGGATGTAAATTGAGATGTTCCTCCATCAAACTGCAAAATAGTAAAGAAACACATTCTGCGAGTCCTTTGCTTTCGAGGCTTGATCTTCAAGTTTGTCTTGCAGCTCCTGCACAGTTTCCATGCTTGGTGACGGTTGGTGCTCAAAAAACTCAGAAGGAACAGAAAAGCCATCAGCAGTTGTAGTGAAGCAGAGACTTTTAGCGACTTGAGGCTCAAACAAGACTGAAACATAGTCGTAGCTAGTGAAACTGTGATGAACTTATGACTATTGTTTGAACAGTAAAATGAAAAAACATGTCAGCGCATATCTGGGCAGAATGGCCCATGTGTAGATGTTTTTAGTTGCAGTATGTGATTTTTTATAGCTCAGATTAATTACCAAATGGTATTCCAATCCCATGTTTGTTGGGTAAGTCCCATTAAACCAAATTAAATCCCCATTTCATGACAAAAGGCCACAACACTCAGGTTGCTGAGGCGGAAAAGCGGGATATAATGGTGATATACTAGGGATCTATCTATCTATCTACCTATCTATCTATGTATCTTATCTTATCTTATCTTATCTTATCTATCTATCTAATCTATCTATCTTATCTTATCTTTTCGGAATCTTATCTATCTGTCTATCTATCTATCTATCTATCTAATCTGGATCTTGATGTTTATATTTATAGATATATGATATATTATTTACATACATATATATATATATGTAGTGAATTGATATAAGCAACTGGATATCTGAATATCTCATCATAATGTGCCAACCTGACAGGGGATCCTGGGATAGTTACCCTGAAAACCATCATTCCAGTGAGTTCATGGCGCTGAAATGTTCGGCCCGGAGACTCGGAGACTCCAGATTTCGAGATCTTCGATGATTTTTCGCATGAACATGTATAAGTCATGTATAAGTCATGTATCCAATTCATCCAATTTGAAGGGTATCCAACTTTTGAACATTTTGAACCATCTTCAAGTGTTGATGGGATTCGGGCCGGGCCGAGGCGGAAGAGAGTCCTTCGATTTGGACACTTGCTCTTCCAGTTGGTCTTGCAACTCCTGCAACGCTTCCCTGCTCGGTATGCTCGGTGCTCAATAGAATCAAGATCAACGAGAACGGCAACAGCCTTCTCCCAAAGCTACGTGCTGTAGTAAATACTTTGAGGGGTCAAGTGTTTTGAGCCATGTGTGAACTCTTAATCCTAGTCAAACCGTGGAACTTTTCCACTGACCACCTTTGATTTTCACAAAGCATATATCCAGCCTGATCCACCTGGATGATTTTACACCACGCCCACATGCGCCCACTACACTTCCATTCTACCAATTTTGTGCCAAGCATTCACCAGCTGCACCCGCTGAAGATTTCATGTTCCTATCGGGCTCCTACTTATTTTTTGTATTGACAAGGGTTGATGCAACACATGGATTTACAAACAAGCATCCACGACCAGATGCAAAAACTCATTATTTCATGTGTTAATAATGTTTCATTCTGCCCCAGGGCATGAACAACACACGCATGTACATACTAGTAGCACATAGACAATCATAGACATACACAATTTCAACTACATACGTAGGTTCGTGGGCAATTGTAGAAGAGTCAAAACCACCCTATAAGTGCTACACTCTGGGTAATTTAACACAACAATGGAAAGCGACCACTATACCCGTCCTTGATCTTAGCCTCCTGCTGGCTCACCTGCTCTAGCTTCCCTTGCAGCTCGCTGGAGTGGGACTCCAGCTTCACTTGCTGCTCCTGGGGTTGGTGGCCACCGAGATTTTGGTTGAACAAGAGATGAAACGATGTGAAATGCTAGCCCAAAATATGCAATAATTCGAGTTTTTAGGCGAAATTCAATCAAGCAACATTGTCTGCCACACTCATGCCCCCACTAATTTTTGTATATGTGGAACCGTGGAGTTACAAGAAACACAATGCAATATATTGTAATTTGCCAAGCTTATTCAAGCTCGTCTATTTAGCAGTTTAGCATGTTCGCGGCATCTTGTTGGTTAGCTTTCAGGGGGTGCAATGCAATGCGGGAGGCTCCGAACGGCCACCCTCCATGGTCGCATGGTCCAATCAGTTGATTCAAGTATCATCAATTCATCAAACCATTGTGTTTAGATTTTTTTACCCTGAAATAAGAAGGAATTCCTGCACATTTGCCCATCTCGCTCTGGGATGTGTCCAAGTTTAGGTCCAAGTCCTGCACTGTAGCCTCTGCTTGCTTCCGCTTCTCCATCTCCTGGCCGAAAAATGAGGTACTTCCAAGACTCGGCCTTTGTTCCAAGAGATTTGGCCATCGAAGTTGCAAATGGGGCATAAACATACAGCATAGTTATAGTTATAGTTGTATATATATATATATATAGTATATATAGTTGTAGGATTTGTAGGGGTTGTATTCCCGACTTCTGGTTGCCGTTACTATGGTGATACTCCAACTGCACCCCAAAATCATCCGAAATACCACCGAAAGGTCAGCGTTCCAGGCCTCTTTGCACTTCTCCTGCTCCTCCAATGTTGCCTGGGAGACCAAAGCAAGTGACATGCTTCTGACTCAGGGAGCGTAGTAACCACCATAAGAAAGCAAGACTTGACTAGTAATATAATATATATTATATAATAATATATATATAATATAATATAATATAATATAATATGATATGATATGATATAATATAATATAATATAATTATAATATATATATATATATAAAAATGTATGATAGGTATATATGAGTATATGGCAATATTCTAATTGTATTTTACGCAATGCTGTCATCCGGTGAACAAACCTCGCAAGTGCTCAATGCAACGGCCCAGGTGGTGATGGGTTCCGTAAAAATGACGCCTTGACCTTGGAGATTCTTTAGGAATAGGATGAATCCTCCAAAACGGAATGTGTTCATAGAATCTGCCTGGAACCACCAGTGATGGATGAAAAGCTGACCCTCTCTCTCTCCATCGCCCCCTGCTGTTTTTTGTTGTTGTTTTTAAACCACCTTTTGCCTCCCCTTCTATGGATTCCAGCACCTTCTCGTGCGATGAAACGTTCTCCAGCTTGCTTTGTAATTCCTGGCAGCTGGAGGTCTATTGCGGGCACCCAGACTGAAATTGGTGCAGTAAGCAGCTGCTTGGTTGTTGTAACCCATGCGAACATATGTCCAAAGTGAAACAGCATTATGAAATCAGGTCAAGTACAGGACGAACATCAACCAGTTTCAACCTCCAGAACGATGATGTTATATATATATAATTATATAAATATAATATGTATACAGTATATATATATATAATTTAATCACATCATTCTGAATCATTTTTCTGCGCCCATTTATATACACAGGCCAGGAGGACAAAAACTCACACAGTCAGTGTTAAGGACAACCTACAGGAACCCCTAAATTTGAGCGGGGTAACCGCAGTGGTTAAATTTTGTCTACAAAACAAACACCGCAATTTACCACTGTATTCACGTGTGATTTTTGAATGCATATTTCCCAAAGATGTTCTAAACAGAAAAAGTACTTTACCAAACTTTACCACTAGTCTAGTGACTATTTCTTTTCTTCCCTAAAATCTATCCTTTTAGGTGATTGCTTTATAATTTTATAAATGGACCATTCAAAAATCCGTCCTTGATGGCAGTCTCAGCTTGTCGGCGTTTTTGTTGCTCTTCAAGGAGCGCCTGTGACATCCCGGCAAATCACACTTCAAGAAGCTCACATGGAGTACTTCATGGGATATACCAGCACACATGTGTATTTATGTGGTAAAGAATATGTATGCATGATCTTGGAAAAACAATGGACACTTGCAATGGTGAAATAATGAATAGGTAAGTCATTGAAACAACTTGGTAGTTGTCCATCATGATGTTGAATTACTGGAGGTTATGGGCGTGTTCCATTGAATAATTCCTCTTGGAACATATCAATATTTGTTTAAGAATGGGTTCCAAGCCGCAACTAAATTCTGGAAGATTCCAATCGGTGGTTGGCCAACGTAAATACAAAACATATGCTGATGATATTAGAATATATTAGATTATATATTAGATATGTACTGATCCCAAACTTAGAATGGAAACCCAACAATGTTTGAAACGACCAAATCTTGGTCATCCAAAACAATCCTGGGGGCTGTTCCGACAGTGCCTGAAGCTGTCTCCCTCAAGTGGCTGAATGAGGAGACTTCACAAACCCGAGGGTGATTTTGGGGAACCCCCCTGAAGAACCATCACATACGTACAGTGTAGGCTATTCATTTGTGTTGTGACCTGGTGGTGTGGTCTAAGAAGGGAACACACATACTCTCGTCATGCCTTCCCTTGCAGGCTTGCGCTAGCCAGCTTGTTTTGCAGCTCCTGGCGGTCGACAGCCCTACCACACAATCCACGCTTCTATGCAACACACATATATAGATGCCCATGTAATTTGATCATGTACGACCATTGCCATTGCCTATACGCACAAATAATGAGTTCATAATACTTATTTAAAACATATGCATCATATTACATACCTATGTGCATCATGTCCCTATCTCATCTGTGCAATTGCGGAGGTATGCATACCAGAAATAAACATCTACTCTTCCCTGCAATCTAACATGAAACAACAAAAATTGGATAAAATGGGTCAGAAAAAAGGTTTCCCTATAAGTTTCTTTTGATATTTTCTATGTTTTGGTGTCCGTACTTTAGTTTTCAGGGCCGACTGCAAGGTTTCATGTCCTATATGTCCTGGATGTGCTTCTCTGCCTCCTGAAGTTTTGTCTTCTCTTGAAGCAGCGCCTCGCGCTTGTATGCTTGTATCAGTAAATCTCAGTTTCCCAATTGTTTGGCTATGTTTTATCAAAGATGAACCAGCGTTTCATCTCGAACATCTGATTGAGTTGAAAAAATCGCCAGAAATGTGTTCCAGTCAGCTCCCAGAAATCTCCTGACATGAAATCTCAAGGTGGTGCCAACATGTGCCACCCAGTTGTGTCTGTTGCTTTGTAACAGCCAAGAACTATAGATACTATATGATAATATAGATATCTACCATGAATCCTAGTTATGTTGCTAATTTCAGCCAACTTAGGTATCATCAATCAAGATAAATCATCTGCAGAACTATCAATCCCCATGTTTGCAGCACCGGCAGTACCCGGTACTCACCTGGTGTGACTCGGATTGCGCCAGCTGATGGGCTTGCAACTCCTGGGCCATGCGGGGAATTACCAAAGGCTCATTTACTGCGGGGAATTCTTGGGTCTTGGGTTTGCAGCATGACCAAATCAGTCAGTGGCTTATCGGTGATCCATGATTATCCATCATGATTATCCATCATTCATTCCAATGATTGTTGCTTGTACCCAAGATTACTTTAAAATATTGATGCATAATGATGCCAAATTATGATTTTCAGGCTTGCTAGAAAGGCGAAAAATGAGGAATCCTCCCCCTAAAAAAATGGCGACCATTTTCCTACAATGATGGTTGGAGCAAGCATTCTATGGTTGGTGACATTCGATGATATTCCATGCAGCATCTCCATGATATCCACATGAAATCTCCAGGTGTCGCAAAAAAGCGCGGTTCCTTGAGCTGAGCTTCAGCCATCTTTCGCTTGTCCTGCTCCTGCTGCATGGCCTTGCAAAAGCATGATGCTTTCATGGGATTATCTTGGATATCTATCTAATAATCTAATTTTCTATCTAATGAGCTATCTAAATATCTATCTAGTTATCTATTTAACTATCTATCTATCTATCTATCTACCTACCTATCTATCTATCCATCCATCCATCCATCTATCAATTCATCCCTCCAACCATCTATCCACGTGATTATACATGAAATTTATTTGGGATTGTATGATTCAGGACGACATAACTCACCAAGCTTAAAAGTTCAGCAATGAACTGGGATAGTTACCCCAATGTACAGCATCATTCCAGTGACTTGGCGGTGATGTCTTCTAAATTTATCCATACATATATATATAAACATCATATACTATATTATCTAAATGGCTAACCAGCCAACCATCAGATGTGTTTTTGTATGGTTCCAACATTGATTTTCACCTAATCAGAAATGCTTCATATCATATGGGCTGTTCTTCAAGTCGGGGACCTCATCCAAGTTTTGCCAAATCTACAGATGCGTACCCCATATTGGACACCCAAGCAAGGGACAACATGTTGATATGACCGGGCGCGTGTGACACAGAATGGGGATATCTTGTTAGATCTCCTTAAACAAATAGAGACCGAAGGGAGAAATGCAGAGCAGGAAGCCATGGAAATCATTGGGTTGTGGATCCACTTGTCAATAATAGGTGAGTCTCAATTAGACATTAACGTGTGGTTTTAACGGATTGTTTTTACAGTATGATTTTTTTCTGGAGTGATGATATGTATGATATGTAGCAGTTGTATCCATGTGCTCACTCGCTGAAATCTCTTCGGCGCTTTAAGCCGGTTCACCTACTCGAGGGTGACGCACTGTAGACACGCTTTCTCCCTGGTGCTTTGCTTCAAGCTTTAGTTTGCTGTTGGCGCTCTTGTGGCTAACTGCAAACGGTTAAGCTCACAAACTATGTACTGTTTATGTCTGCTGCACCCCGTTCTATTCCCCATCAATGCCATTTCGTAGCTACAAAATGCCCACTCGCGAACCAAACTGGTTGGTGGTTTAACTTATCCCATAACTTATCCCAATTTTTTTGCCTATATAATAAACTACTTCCCCTCAAAATTGGGATTCTCATGGATTCTCAGGGTCAAAGTGTTGGTTGGTGGCAGGATACCTTTTCAAAGGCACCAATCAGTTCCATTGGTTCTATCCCGTTGTTGCTGCTTAAATCACTATTTTTGCAGCGTAAACCCCATTTTGCACTAACAAGCGGTTTCTTCAAATTGTGCTCGTCCTGTAAATTCCAGTTCTTAATCTGGCAATGTAACATCCATGTTCATTGTCCCGCAAGGTGGACCCCCCTCTTATAAGTTGGTCAACAAACTTGTAGAATAATTGCCATAGATTGCCATAGATATATTACTAGGGTGTAGTATAGTGTTTGATTTTTTTTTGCCTCAGGTTTTGGATTTTTTTTTGGTTTTCTTTCCCGGTACCATTTGCCTTGTATTCGCAACAGTTTGGAACTAGAACCTGTCATTTTGCATGGTATTTGCTACATTTTGGCATGGTCACTTTGCATTTTGTATGGTATTTGCTACATTTCGCCATGATTGCCTTCCATTTTGAATGGCATTTGCGACGTTTTGGCATTTCAACCTCTGATTTGCATGGTATTTGCTACATTTTGGTGCTTCAAACGTTCATGTGGGTCTCTTGAGGGTTCTTTAGGCTTTCATTTAAATTTAGGGTTTCATTTAAAGTTTCATTTAGGGTTTCATTAAGGGTTTTATTTAGGGCTTCATTTGGGGTTTCATTTAGGGTTTCATTTAAGGTTTCTTTCGGGTTTCATTTAGGGGGTCTTTACGGTTTCATGTAGGGTTTCATTTAGGGTTTCTTTAGGGCTCGGGTTTGTTTAGAGTTTCATTTCGGATTTTTTTCCGGTTTCATGCAGGGTCTCTTATCAGGATTTCTTATCAGGACTTCAAAACGTTCAAATGAGTTTCTTTAGGGCTTCTTTAGGGTTTCATATCGGGTTTCTTTAGGGTTTCGTTTAGGGTCTCATTTAGGGTTTATTTAGGGTTTCAATTTGGGTTTCATTTAGGGTCTCATTTAAAGTTTCTTTAGGGTTTCATTTAGAGTTTCTTTAAGGCTTCTCTAGGGTTTCATTTAGGGTTTCATTTAGGGTTTCTTTAGATTTTCATTTAGGGTTTCATTTAAGCTTTCTTTAGGGTTTCATTCCAGGGTTTCATGTAGGGTATCATTTAGGGTTTCTTTAGGGTTTCGTTTAGGGGTTTCATTTAGGGTTTCATTTAGGGTGTCATTTAGGGTTTCAGTTTGGGTTTCATTTAGGGTTTCATTTAAGGTTTCTTTAGGGTTTCAATTTAGGGTGCCATTCAGGAGTTCATTTAATTTTTTTTTAGGGTTTCTTTAGGGTCAAACGTTCAAGTGGGTTCCTTTAGGGTTCCTTAGGGTTCATTTAGGGTGTCATTTAGGGTGTCATTTAGGGTGTCATTTAGGGTTTCTTTAGGGTTTCTTTAGGGTTTCATTTAGGGTCTCATTTAAGGTTTCTTTAAGGTTGCATTTAGAGTTTTTTGAGAGCTTCTCCAGGGTTTCATTTAGGGTTTCTTTAGGGTTTCATTTAGGGTTTCTCTTGAAATCATTTAAGCTTTCTTTAGGGTTTCATTCCAGGGTTTCTTATCAGGATGTCTTTTCACGATTTCTAAACGTTCAGGTGGGTTCCTTTAGGGTTCCTTCAGGGTTACTTTAGGGTTTCATTTAGGGTGTCATTTAGGGTTTCTTCAGGGTTTCTTTAGGGTTTCATTTAGGGTTTCTTTAGGGTTTCATTTAGGGTTTCAATTTAGGGTTTCATTTAGTGTTTCATTTAGGGTTTCTTTAGGGTTTCAATTTAGGGTTTCAGCTAAGGTGTCAGTTAAGGTTTATTTAGTTTTTTGCTGCAATTTTTTTTGGGATTTTTTTCCCGTTTATTTTTGGGATTTTTTCCTCGTTTTTTGGGGTTTGATGGTTTTGATTGGTATTTGCAGCGTTTTGCAGCTAAGCTCTCTGATTTGCATGGTGTTGTTGTTGTTGTTGTGGTTGGATGGATGGATGGATGGTTGGTTGGTTGGTTGGTTAGTTAGTTAGTTGGTTGGTTGGTTGCTTGGTTGCTTGGTTGCTTGGTTGCTTGGTTGCTTGGTTGGTGTTGGTTGGTGTTGGTTGGTTGTGGTTGTTGTTGTGGTTGGTGGTTGTGGTTGTGGTTGTGGTTGTTGTTGTTGTTGTTCTTCTTCTTGGTGGTGGTGGTGGTGGTGGTGGGTTGTTGTTGTTGTTGTTGTTGGTTGTTGGTTGTTGGTTGTTGTTTGCTGTTGTTGTTGTTGTTGGTGGTGGTTGTTGTTGTTGTTGTTGGTTGTTGTTGTTGTTGTTGTTGTTCTTGTTGTTGTTGTTGTTGTTGTTGGTTGTGGTTGTGGTTGTTGTTGTTGTTGTTGGTTGTTGTTGTTGTTGTTGTTGTGGTTGTGGTTGTGGTTGTGGTTGTTGTTGGGGAGGCTAGCGGATCAAAAAAAAAACAAATAAGGATCAAAAAAAAAG